AGCACAGGTGGGGGTTTGGCAAGGAAACCTGAGTGCAGTTCATGAAAAGAATGTCCAGATATTCACTTGTGAGAAGGATTTGTAGCTCCTGTTCTATGTGATAGATTGAGATAGAACATCATGTTTTATAGCACATAAAAAATATTTTCAAAATACAAATTAATGAGACATTATTAATCTTATATTGGTTTTATTGAGTTGAAAAAGTTTCATATTACCTTTATACCAAATGGATGATTTTGATTTGAGACATTTTATTGATGAGTTGTTAAATTTTTAAAATCATAAATGCATTTATACATTCATTAGTATGTAGAAAATTTAACCCGCTTGTAAAAAAAAATGCCTTTCCTTTTTTTCTGGAGAAGTTTTCTTAGTATATTTTTTTTTCTCAAAAATAATTAATCAAGTAGAATAAGTTGGTAATCAATCAAGTAGACTAAATTAAGTTAGAACTTTTCTCATAATATACTAGCACCTTTTCTACAAACAGAGTAGACTTAAAATGTTCCCAAAGTTACCACTGTCTGGCTTCTCTCTTTTGTGATATGATTAGATTTTGTAAAAGCATCTAACTTTATTGCTACCTACAAAAGGAGATGATTAGTTGAAAAATTGACCTGACCTGTGGATTCTCTTGTCTTCCTCCTTTCTCTTCAAATTACTGCCAGTTTGAAGATGAGAAGAGATCAAGGCCAGAATGACAGCTGTCATAGCAGCCAACACCATTTTATTTCTTTTTCTCCACACATGTTTTCAGAAACCTCTGAATTTGATTGTCATCATTTAAAACTCAAATATCATAATAAGAACAAGATTTCTTGCTTACCTAAAAAAATGAGAGATCTATGAATGCTAGGCCCTCTGGGGTAGAAGACAAATGTTCTGTTCAAACATGTAAAGACTTTAATAAATTTTAAAGACTTTTATGAATACTTAATGGATATTCACTTCAAAATATGCAAATTCACCATTTATTTCATAATATAAATTTATCTAAGTTTAAAATGTTAAATTATTAGTTACAAAAATTATTTGTATCTATAAACAAATCCATAAGACAGACAAATCTGACTTAACATTTTATTAAACTACATCTGTTTTTCCACATGATTTCATGTATCACCCTGTATATTCCAGTCTGGAAACTTAAGTGTAAGATATTCATCAAGGTATAATTAATTTGAAAGATGTTTAGTTTCTATGGTAGGTGTTAGAAAATCATTAGTTAACAAGATTCCTGCCTTTATAGATCTCATATTCAGTGGGTATAGTGGTATTTAGTACAGAATATCAGGCAGAAAGAACACTGAACTGAAGTTTTAGAGATCACTACATAAACAACCAATGTGACCTTAAGGCAATTAACTTCTTTGAACATCTGTTTCCTTAGCTGCAAAGTATGGAGGTTTAAAATAGGCAGTGCTATTGAATAGTTCTTTCCAAAAATTTGCTGGCCTCACAAATCCTTTATTTCACCTTTTGTTTTAGTTCCTAATACCTATTAGCTACCCCTCTATATTTGGAAGAAGA